TCAATTTTGTCATGATTCGAATCATATATTTTATACCCCTTTGTGCCGCTAGGATAGCTTATGAACACTCCCGGTCTTCCTCTTATTTCAAACTTGTCACCTTTGGTTTCAACATTTCGATAATAAGCCATGCAGTCGAGGACCCTCATGTGATCATAACTTGGTTTCGCGCTATATAACAACTCATATGGGGTCTTATCTTCTATAACTTTGGAGGGAAGCCTATTAATGATATGGGTTGCGGTTAAGATGCACTCACCCGGAAATCTTATTGAAAGATTGGCTTCGATCTTGAGTGCTCGAGCTGTTTCAAGCAGATGACTATGTTTCCGATCCACAACTCCATTTTGTTGTGGAGTATGTGGACATGTGGTTTCCAAGACAATTCCTTGTTCGGCATAAAAATTCAACATTTTATTTGAAGTGAACTCCCCACTGTTGTCGCACCTTAATCTTTTAATGTTTTTTTCAAATTGTGTTTCGATCAATTTGTAAAAATCAATCAGACACATGATTGCTTCATACTTGTGCTTGAGAAGGAAAACCCGAACGACCCTACTATGATCATCAACTATTGTTAAAAAATAACTTGCCTCTGAAGTGTTGGTGTTCGATATTTTCCCCATATATCACAATATAATAATTCAAAGCAGACACTTGTTTTCGTGGTACTAATGGTAAAGGGTTTTCTTGTAATTTTGGATTTAATACATGAATCACATACATCATTATTTTTGAAAGAAAAATTGCTAAGGAAATTTATTTTGGATAGTTTTCATCACCGGCATGTTCAAGTCTCTTGTGCCATACATCCACCATCATTGATTTTCTTTCACTTCCGAACATCCCCATTTGATGTAGACCGTCTTTGCACTTACCCACTCCAATCAACCTTCTCGAATGCAAGCCCTGCATAACAAAGAATTCGGGAAAAAAATGTTATAGCGCACTTTAAATCCTTTGAAAGCTTGCTAATAGAAAAGAGGTTATAATTGAATTTTGGAACTTGCAAAACTCTTTTGCACTTTTATTTTGTTTTGAAGTTTGTGATTGCCTCTTCCTTTAATCGGTATAGCTTCTCCATTCGGGATGGTAATGGGCGTCTCGTTGACTGAGACAATCCTTTCTTCAAGGATGTTGGTTCTGTGTTCTGTGCACCCTGAGTCGACAATCCATTCATCATTACGAAAATTTTACCTGCCACGTTAGCCGACCGGGGTGCATCGAACTGCGTCGCCTTATTCTCCGGATCAAAAAGCTTCAGAAATTGCTCGTATTGCTCTTTTGTCAGGGTTGCGACGGGATTGTTATCGATTTCTGCACATGCTGCCTTCGGCCTTCCTTTCTCCCGTTTGTTCTTCCCCGGCCACCACTCTGAGTATCCAATCTGTTTGAAGCAACCATCCCGTGTGTGCCCATCTCTATTACAAAAATCTCAGTGACCCGTGGGCTTCTGACCTTTCTGCATGGTTTTGTTGGGGCCGGCATTGAACTTTAGAGATGCTTGGAATGTTGCAGCCTCGTTAAAAGTTCTTTTCCCGCTGGTTATAGATCTCTGCTGCTCGTCCTCGACAACCAAATGATAAACATTTCCCAGTGACGGGATCGGTTTCATTGCAAGTATTTGAGTCCTGATGCCAAAGAACTCACCATCCAATCCCATGAAAAACTCGTAAAGTTGTTCTTTTTCACAAAGTTCCTTGAGTGATTTCCCAAGGCCACAAGTACACCATTACATTTACATTTTGGGGTGGGAAGGAAGGATTGCATTTCGTCCCATAGCCTGCAGAGTTTCGTGTAATAAGCTGATACTGTCATTCCATCTTGTCTTGTGCTTGAGATGGATTGTTTTAGGTCATATGCCACAGGTGCACTTTCCTTGCCAAACCTCTCTTGGAGGTCTGACCAGATTTTCGCAACAGATTTGACATATTTCATGCTTCCTCGGATCTCCTTGTCCATGGTCATGGTGAGATAAAATAACACAACGAACTCGAATTATAATTACTTGGTTAAACATCATACTGTTTTCAAAAAAGAAAAGCGAAAGGTGGCTGTTGTACATCTTTAATATGTATTTTGATCAAATCTTACCCATTTAAACACGTGTGAAAGAGATTGAAGATGTTGTAGAAAGATAAAGAAAAGAGCTACGACTTTAATTTCATGTTCTGAGTGTTCGAGAATTCAATCCTCATTAGGTTGAAACCAATGTTGATGTTGCTGAGAACAAAGCAAAGTCGAGTTTAATTAATCAAAGACAACATGGTGATTGCATATTTCTTATTAACCTAACCATAAAGGACCCTAGGGTTTGTTTTTTGGGTTTTTTTTAACAAAATATTTTCAAACTGCGGAACATTTGGCATCTTTCTGATTTCGAAAACTATATATGGGCATCCATAATTTATTATACGAAATTCTGGTTTTCGCCGACAGCAAACTTTAGTTAAAATCAAATGCCTTGAGAGGCTTCTTTCATAAGTACTCTTGATTTTTATTTTTTTAATAAGCCCTGATCAAGCCTTTAAACTCTTGCTCTTTATAACATAAAAGAGCAAAATTTCATTCATCCAAAAGAGATGGGATTTGAGAATCCATATTTCATTGATATTGATATAATTATCATAAGTGATTTATTTAGAGTGAGTGATCGCTACATATACCATCTTGTTTAGCAAAGAAACGGGTGTTTTATTGTAATCGTATCTTTAAGGTTTGGTTTCCAGTTTCTAGTTTCTACCATTTGGAAAGTGGATTAGCCAAGTTCGTAAACAACTCTACACATGTTTTTAACGATTCTCTCAAAACTCTTTTGTATTTATTTGTTTGAGTTTGAAAGATTATTTTTATAATACTGTTTGTGCCAATGCAATACAACCTTCCCTCATGCAGGTACCTTCACCTATTCCTAGTGTATGCACACAATTTACCATAATCACTTTACATTCAACCATTCGACAATACAAGATAAATTTATCTTTAGAGTCACATATGTGAACTGCCTGCTCATTTCCAACATTGTCATGTTATTGTCTAATCATTTTTCATATTGTTTCTCACTTCTTTTTCCAATGGAACATAACTGGCGTCTTTGGTTTGGTCTGTTTGGTTTGAGTTCACTTCTTTTTTGATACACAAGAAAAAAAATTCATTTATTCATGAATCATCTTTTTAGAGTAATATGTTCAAGACAGAGGTAATTAGGAAATGATTGCTCCCAGTGGGAAGATTAAGTTAAGAGAATGTTAAGTGCCATCCTTTTATCAACCAAAACCTATAGCTTATGCACTTCTTCATAAGAGGTTTATTAGATTGATCATATGAAAATCTGTATTTGAAATCAAGTATTTATTTGTATGTTCTATGGTTGTATACTTGGACTACAATATGGTCTCTATACGCACATTATTTGAGCATACAAGTCTTATAGATTGTTAGACATCAACTTCTTGAATGGAGACAGGGGTTTCATCATCTCTTAACCATTGTTCTTCGAGGTTAGCCAAAGTATCATTTGAAATCTTGACACTGTTCACCTCTACTAAGATCTGATGCAATCACAAAGTATCATTTGTTTCGGAAGCAATCACACGAACAAACTAGATGTTCTAGGATGTAGCTAAAAACTTAGTAGAAAAGAGGATAATTCTTTTTTTTTTTTCTGATAATCACGGGTGTCCGATTCTGTTTGCATGGAGCTAAACAAATCCCATGCGGCTTGAAGTTAACAGTTAAACAAACTCTTTTAGTGACCATGAGGAGACTCAAAGTGCTGACATCATGAACAAATCCGAAGTGTTAGCAATTGAGTTATCCATGAAGATTGAAGATTAATTATCGTAGTGCATGTATGGCATACATACTCTTTTTACTAAAAGAACGTATACACCCCCTCTGAATGACTATCATTAACCCTCATTGGTTTTACCGGTTAAATTCTTTCCACTATTATGATATTGATTGGAAGCATGTGAAAAGAAGTGACAATAACTAGAACAAGATGCCCAACCGCGGAATAGGACTTTATGACTTTTAAGTTTATAGCACCAACAACGATATTTATTATACTTAGTGTTAAAATAAGTTATCACGACAAAGTTACGGGACTTATAACAAGTTATATGCTTATGAAACAATAAGTTGTTACGATAAAATTAGACAACTAATGGCACTTGAGAAGTAAATCTTCATATTCCATTTATATGCATGACACTTTATGAAAGATATTTTATGAAAGCGTCCTAAAAAGGTTTCATAAATATTTTGTAAGAAGTGTCCCAGTAAAAAGGGTAATTTGACGATCTACTTCTTGAGTCTACTAAGTTCCAACTTTGTCATAACATCAACTTAATGTTTCATTAGGATAGACCTTGTTTGGTGGCTTAATTTCGTGTTAACAACTTATTGTAAAACCTTCGTATAGAATGCAGATATAGTTGTTAGCTAGTCTTGTAAACTTAAAAATAAAATCCTATAATGTACGTAGATTGTTTGGGCGTTCTGATAGGCTCATTCATAAAGATACATACTCTTTCGAAGTTAGATCGAGTTTTTCCTCTTTTGTACAACATTCCTCATTTCGACACTTTTATTACTTCCGATGGAACACCAAAGGAATCAATACCCACGAGGTCAAAACCGAAGAAGTACCATACTATAGATCCTTCATAATCACCTTTAAAACAGATCAACAAACCCGATAATATTCCGGTTGTATATATATATATATACATCCCGTCCTACAAATAAACGACATTTCATGTAATAAAATATGCAGAAAAATTGATACAAGGGTTTACATTTGGTTTTCATCCTCATGCCCCTCCTCTTGTTTCGACATATAGTTGTATAGTATGGGAAAGCATCATTTCTGCACCAACCAATATAATAAAATAAAGCTTACTTTAAGAAGCCTCACCAAAAGGTGGCCTGGTCTTATAAAAATAGAGCATGGGCCTTTAAATAGAGTAGACAACTCACCAGTTGCAGCAATAGAAGATCTGCCACTGACAAAATCATACAAATATACACAGAGAAACATCATGAGGAGTACTACTGTGATGGAGAGAAGCAAGTCATTTGTACAGCCCCCAGCTTATGGGAAACTGATCACAGTTCTTAGCATCGATGGTGGTGGAATCAGAGGCCTTATCCCAGCTATTATCCTCGAGTTTCTCGAGGCTCAGCTTCAGGTATTACATGCCTTTAAATCCAGTTCTAAATTTTTGAGCTTGAATACATATATATGTGTGTGTGTGTGTGTGATCCTGAAATCATTTCAAGATTTCCAAAGTTCTGATCCTGAAAGCAACCATGGTTGCAACTTATAGTTGGTATTTGATGTTTGAAGGAAACAAATTCATGCTAGAATTGTTTTCTTGGATGTCTCCTGTCCTATTTTAAACTCCAATTTTTAGTCATGATCATTATGGTGTATGGTTCAGAGAATAGATGGAGAGGATGCAAGAATAGCAGACTATTTCGATATAATTGCTGGGACGAGTACGGGTGGTCTCATCACTTCAATGTTAACGGCTCCGAATGAAAACAAGCGCCCTTTGTTTGCTGCCAAGGACATCAAAGACTTCTACCTCGTGAAGTGCCCCAAGATCTTCCCTCAAGATTGGTAATAAATTCATTTACTTTGATTTTTAACTTTCCCAAAGAGTTCAATTTGAAAGAGAATATAGATCAGTACATAAACCAAAAGCATCCAGCGACTTCAGTACATAGATAGGACTAAAAACTGTACCATAGACGGACCTAGAGGGGTGGTTAGGTTCCACGTGCCACCGTATTGTTCCTCCATGGTAAGATACAAAAAATTTGGTTTGTAAAAGGTGCAACTGTTTTACATGGTGCCACCATATCAAAATTTTTTTGGGTCCGACCCTGTACCACAAGAATCATCACAGAAGAATTGATGGCCAGTATCTTATATTTTTGAGCACCCGTTCTTTCTCTTCGAATCTACGGGCTTAAAGGAGTTTTGGCTCCAAATTTGGCTTTACTTGATATGTGTTCAAAGCTACTTTCTTGCTGGCTATGGGTCGAGGAGCATTTTTCTTTTCCTTTCTGGAGCCTGTTTGTTATCTGCTTTATGGTTTATCCCATCAACAAATCCATATCCAATTTTCTTGAATAAACATGTTTGACGGAATTATACTGATAACAAAAGTAATAAGTTTTCAAGTATTATTATATAGGGTCTTCTTAAAATAATAAGTTATGCAAATATTAATTGTACTATCGATTTTATTTCAAATAAATATTTATTGTTGTAAAAGCACGACAAAAAATGAACTTTAAAAATTAATCGAAAGTGAAAAAAAGAAAATGGAGAATAGGGAGCGAAGTATTAAAAGCGAAATCTAGATAAATATAAACAAAATGATCTCCAACTCATTTGTAAAAGCCTCTTGATTATACTAGATGAACTGGGATCAAGTCTTTCTAATAACAATTCCATTTAATTTTTAATGACTATACAACTAGGGTTGTAAACGAACCGAACGTTCAGCGAATCGTTCGGAAGTTCGTTTAGAAAATAAACCATTTTTTTGTTCGTTTAGTTAAACGAACGATATGAACAAGTGTCTCGTTCGTTCATTTATGTTCGTGAACGTTCGTTTATTTACCGTTCGTTTACGTTCGTTTATATATTAAATTTAATATATAATCTTTTATATTATTTACTTTGAATTCAAATAATAATTATTTATGTTCGTTTAACCCGTTCGTTTATGTTCGTTCGTTTACGTTCGTTTAGCATGTTAACGAACGAACATAAACAAACACGAACACATCTGATTTCTAAATGAAAGAATACGAACACAAAGATTTTCGTTCGTTTACTGTTCGTGTTCGTTCGTTTGTTCGGTTAAGTTAAACGAACGAACATGAACAAGCCTCCGTTCGTATTCGTTCGGTTCGTTTACAGCCCTAATACAACTAGTATTAAGCTTGGGATGCCCTGGACCGCCGCTCACTGCAAAGGGGTGAGATTCAAACCCTCTCCTAGTCGTTTATCTTCTTTTCTAATGTTGGATCGTTACGCCAGTTTTTCCTTAATTGTTTCTCCCATTTTAAGGCATTTAGACTTCTTTAACGTCCTATAAAACTTGTGGTGACCGCTTTTCTTTCTAGTAAAGAAGAGCTGAACAGTAGCAACTCCACTGCTATCTCTTCTTTTACTATGTGTACTTTATTATCCTTGCTTTCTGAAACAAACATTGACAAATATGGTTTTGATTTCTTGAAGAACAGCAATATGTTTGCAAAGATAATAAAGAACTTAACTGGGCCGCTATATGACGGGAATTACCTCCGCACCGCCATCCGGAAGAAGCTCCAAAACACCAAATTAGCAGATACATTAACCAACGTTGCCATCCCGACCTTCGACATCACGACACTCCAGCCAACGATATTCTCCACCTATGAGGTTTGCCCTTATTTGTTTTTGGCCACTCTACGTCAGTGTTATTTCTTTTCAAATAGAACCCGCTGCTATTTTTAATTTCGTTTCGCTAGATGAAGGATAAACCGCACTTGAACGCCAAGCTATCGGATATCTGCATTGCAACATCAGCAGCTCCTACCTATCTTCCACCACATTATTTTGAAACCTATGATCATGAGGGAAAGCCGCATAAATTCAACCTGATTGATGGTGGTGTGGCAGCAAATAATCCGGTAACGTTACTTATGTATTACGAATTCCTGCAAAATACGAAAACTTCCCTCTTTCTTCCGTTCTATAGATCGAAAATGCATAATTTTCCTCAAATGTACACTACAATAAATCGGGTTTATAGGACACTTCAAATTCTAAGTGCCCTAATAGACCTCTTTATAGGACCAAAAAAATAAAGTGTCCTATCTAAAGGTGTTGTAATAAGTTTATATGATATTTGTTGACGTCGTAATAAGTTTTTAGAACATTTTTAATATAAAACGTCCTATTATCAACTTTATAGGACACTATTTGAAAAAATGTCCTATAAAAACAAAGGTCATATACAAAATTGAGTTTATAGGACACTTTCTGAAAAGTGTCATAAAAAGTTGTTAATTCGACACTTTGTATTAAAAATGTCTTAAAAAACTTGTTAAGACGCCCAAAAGCGTCATATAAACTTATTACGACACCTTTAGATAGCACGCTTTATATTTTGGTCCTATAAATTAAGTGCTATAAAATGGTCTGTTGGGACGTTTAGAGATTGCTATAAACCCAATTTTGTTGTAGTGGTATGTACTCGAACACGAATAAAAATAGTACTCATTTCAAATTCTAAACGCTAGATTGCTACAATTTTTTATCAACTTCTCTATATATGAGCATTTGCTCCAAGTATTTTTTTTGTTCCTCCTGTAACAGACTCTGATTGCAATGGGAGAAATTGCCAAGCAACTCATTCGCAGAAATAGCGACTTCGACTTGTCACGATCCCTAGAGTATCGTAGATTTTTGGTGATATCTATAGGAACTGGTGAATGCAAAATGGCAGGAAAATACTGTGCAGAAGACGCTTCGAAATGGGGCTTGTTTGGATGGTGGTTCAATGCCAACGGCTCTCCGTTGCTTGATATTTTCACTCAAGCTAGCACCGATATGGTTGATTTCCACCTTTCTGTCGTCTTCAAAGCTCTTGACATCGAAAAGAATTACCTACGAATCCAGGTTTGTGCGTAAAGTGTTGTTCTTTACAAAGATGAGAGCTAGTAATCCATTATTTGTAGCTAGAATCACTGCTAAAGTTCGACTTGATCATGATATTCCAACAAAGAATTCTATGAAACACAGGAAGATGGCTTAGGAAGGACCATTCTTGATAGAGCTACCCAAGAAAATTTGGATTGTTTGAAAAAAGCTGGTGAAGGCTTGCTTAAAAAGAAGGTTTCAAGGGTGAACTTGGAAACCGGCGACTTCGAATCCTACAGTAAAGAAACGAACGAAGAGGCGCTCATAGAGTATGTATCTTCGGCAACCGATGAACCATAAAATCACATATGTTATGATTTGATGCATTACTTTACTCTGTGATTGAGATATGTATACCTTCTTGGACAGATTCGCGAAAAAACTTACCGATGAGAAGCACCTTCGTGACATAAACATTAGATCGCCACGAACACCAATTCCAGGTCCACCATCTATCTTCTTAGAGACGAAGCCTAATTTTGGGCCATTCGAAAAACTAAGTACTGCATAAAGGATTGATGTGTAGTTTCAACCGAAGTAAACCTACTGGTGAAGTAGGGTAAGATTAATTGCCTCTTGATCCAGACTTGTACTCAATTTGATTGTCATGTGAAATTATATATGAAGTGTTATGTATTGTATTCGGTTGCCACACACTTAATGTTTTTCGGTTTTTCTGAAACATACGTTGATTAAATGTCGCAACTATTCGAAATATATATTAAGTTTGAACATGTGTTAACAAAAGTGTATGTCACGAACCACAAGGGTGGTGCCTGATTGGTATGACCTTAGCTCCAAAGATCAAAAGTACCTGGAGGTTCATGTTCAAATCCAAGGAGGAATAAAAATCCCCTTGTGGCTATGGAGGTTCAAATGCTGTGACTCTGGACTATCTGCAAAGCAGGTGGTTGCCCTAGGATTAGTCGGCTCGGATAGCGGGTTGGATATCTAGGTTAATAAAAAAAAGTGTATGTCTCGAAAATCAAACAAGAAAGAGCAAAGTTGCAAACGTATAAAGTATATGCACTCAAAGACGGAGTCTGAGAGAGGTAAGATCACTACAAGAAAAATGATCTTCAGAGAAGGTACTATTTTGTACTTAAAAGTCTTAAAAGCTTCTCTAAAACCTTTAGATAAGCTTTTCAATTTTGTCATAGAGCTTCTCTATGTAACGGTAGGTAAAGGTTTTAGAGAGGGATTTCGGAGGGTGTATTTTTGTTAGCCTTTAGAGACGCTTATTTGAGGCTTTAAATACACTTTCAAAACTTCTCTAAAGGTTAGTCAACTTTTTATTCAAAGCTTCTCTAAA